ACGGCACCACTGTCATTGCTCAGGCACCATATTCGCCAGATCTGGATCCGTGCGAATTTTTCCTGTTCCCGAAACTCAAATTACCCCTTCGTGGTAAGCGTTTTGAGTCGATTGAATCGATAAAAGAGAATTACGCTAAAGGATCTAAAAGCCATACCTTCACGGGCCTACGAAAAGTGTATGGAAGATTGGGTTAAGCGTTGGTATATGTGGAGAAAATTCGGATTATGAATAAACATCCTTAAGAAAAATTTTACTTTCCATATTTTAAGATAATTCCATTTTCTCAGAATACATTTCTGTATCTTTTCTCTGAATCATTTTAAAAAGAATATAAGCCATGTCAGTGTAACCGTTTTAAAGTGTTTTTTTTTTATTTTTATTATATAGATACATTTATTATTTCAAAAATTTATTTTACTTTTATATAAATTAATATGCATATGTATATAAATTATACATGTACATTTTTTATATATGGACATGTGGCATAAGTTTTCAAGATAGACTTTGCTCTTCCTGTGTGAAGGGTATCTTAACTTCAAAAAAGCCCGAGTGAAATTCTTTTGTTCTTAATAATATATATATTTTTTTCTTAAGTGAACACATATTGAATAACAAAAAGATTTTTTTTTATCTAAATCAGCAAAACATTTTGAAAACATTCGCAATGCCCTTATCAATACTAAACGATAATTAATAAATGTTGCAGTAGCAGCGCAAGGGCACAGTGGAATGAGTTCTTAAATGTTATTTTATTATTTTTTAACTTTTTTTTGTTTTTGTTTGTTCAATACAGTGGCTACTGCTGGTTAATGACACAACTAAAAATTTGTAATAAATATATAAAACTATTTGTCATCTTTTCGTTGTCTGATGATTCTGATGTGATGATTAGCAAAACGTGTCGAAAAATTAGTTTATATATAATATATATATATATTTTTATTTACTTATTTATATATATAAATTTTGTATTATACATCTATTGTTATTTTTTTTTTGTTTTCTATATTCGACGCTTACAGTGGGATTTGTAATAAAAAATTAATGACAATTTTATGATGCCGCGATCGTATGATGTGCGCGAGAACTATTTAAGATTTTAAGTGTTTATTTAATATATTTTTATATTAATAATTATGTATGATAATGTTGATATTAAATTTTTTTTTATAATTTTTCATAAAACTATGTAACTATTGAACTATTTAAAATTATAAGTGTTTAGTTAATATATTTTTATATTAATAATTATGTATGATAATGTTGATAAAAAATTTATTTTTGTAAATTTTCATAAAATGCTTACATAGGTCGTGTGCGAGTTCGAGTAAATTTAGTTAAAATTAATTATTTATTGCACTTATTTGTTATGTTTCGTTAAAAGTTTTCAAATTTATTTATTTATTTATTAAACATCTTATAAAATTTTCACAATGCAATACCTAATTTACTCTAATTTTTATCTAATTTACCCTACTCGAAATTCTAGTAATTACTCATATTCACTTCCATGCCGACATATTTTACTATGTCCCTCAACTTACCATCAAAATACTCGAACTCGCACACGATCTACATAAATATGTATGTATTATGTTGATTTTATAACTTAAGCATACGTTCACCACTGTACCACAAGATAAATAAAAATGAGCAGAACTTACCCTTTTCCTTTTAACACAACAGTTGGCTGAACAAAGCGGCAAAGCGTGGTTTGTGTATGATTCACGTTTCGATGGCACACAGAGAAAACAAAACAAAACACAACAAAGTCAATAATGCAGAAATGGAACTTTTGAATTTCCTTATTTTATTTCTATTTTTTAACATGCATACATAAATAGTGAGTAAGATAACAGCTATACGCGACACCTGGCAATGAAATATAATAATTACTTTATTACACATGTAAAATATATTTTATTCTCAAGAACTTAAGAATGAATTTCTTTTCTAATTTAATAAAAAAAAAGCTGGTCGTCTTTGACATTAAGAAGGCACAAACAACAAGTTCAACATTCAAGCAACAACAACAACAACAAATATAAACAAATCATTTCAATGGCAAAACGTGCTAATATCAAAATTTCTTATTGGATTCTTGCATTTACTCGTTGCTCTCAATGAGTTTTTGTTGTTATTGTTGTTGCTTAATTGAAGTCTCGTGATTAGAAACTGCCAAGTTCTCGTTTATTTAAAGGCTTTTTTTATTAGCAAAAGAAAAAAATAAAAAATTAAAAATACACTATTTTATTATTTATTCATTTCTTTTTTGAGTTTTATGTTATTTAAGGAGGATTTTAAACAGACACTAAACGGTAAACATTTTTTTTAATTATTTTTTTTTGCTTAATTTATTTTTTTTTGATTTTTTTTTCCTTTTTTATTACTTAGCCCAGTACAAAAACAATATAAAGCATTAACAAAATTCTTTTTGGCACTGATTTAAAATAAAATAGTAATAATTATACTTAGTAAGCAGAAATTTTGACCAAAGAATTTAATTTTTTTTATTTCGTTTATGTGATCTTGATTATATGCTCCGAATTTTTTTTTTTTGTTTTTTTAACATAAATTAACACGTACCACAAAAATATTTTATTGTTTACGTTTTGTTCAATTTCTTTTGTTTAATTTAGTACTTTTATTATGAAATAATTGATTTTTAGTATATTTTTTTAACACTTAAACACAAAATGTATATATTTTTTCTGTTTTTGGCAACTAAACTAAAAATTTCTTCATAACAACAAGCAAATTTATTTCTTTTGCGGTACAACATTTAAATTACTTGCCAAAATATACAAAACATACTCAACACATACACGTATGTATGTATGTACTTTTACAAACAATAATTCATAGTCAAAATGTTTGTATGTAAATTTTTTACCTTTAACAGAAATTGTTCATAATTTTAAATAAATTTTTTTTCTTTAAATTCAACAAGCAATTCTACAAAGAAAATAAATTCTTCACTTTACTTTATAACACGACGGACGGCATGCAACAACAACAAATAGTTTTTAAGAATTGCTTGAAGAAGAAGAAGCAGCACAATATATGAAACACGTAAACTAGAAATTCAGCCAGACAAGTTGTTACCGCTTACACATTTCTCACAATAATAATTTACAGTTCCTTTTTGTTGCACGTTTTAAGCGAAAATATAAATATCACTCACTCACACGAGCCAATATAAAACCGATCTGAGTGACGGACGCACTCCACTTTACATAAAACAAAAAACAAAAACAACAAAAAGAAAAAAGAAAAAACTTCATACTACAAAACGAGACAAAACGAATTGTGTGCACGTTTCTCTACACTAAACATTTGTTTGTGTGTGCGTTTGTGTTTTGCAGAAAAGAGCAGTTTACCCTATACATTGGGTTTTGTTGTCATAAAAAAACTTTTTTCTTTTTTTGTTTTGACTTTATCAACATAATTTACTCAATCTACCATGCACCACTTATTGCTTTGCTGATCATGGGCGGCTAAGTTTTTGTTGTATTTTGCGCTTGTTCTTCTTTATTGACAGCTACTAACCACGTAGTGGAAATTTGTATTGTGTTTCATGGTAAGTAAAGTGGATGGAGCTTGAAAATGAAAAGAAGGCTTTTGTTTACGTTTCTTGGTGCAATGGGAGATAAGGGAATTTGTTTTTTTTTTTATTTTTTCTGTTTGACTCTAAATGAGTGAAAGGTGACGATCAACAAACACTCATTAATAAATCTATTATAGGCGGGTGGCATTTAGAAATATTTTAGAATAAAAGTATTTTTGGCAGTCGTCCCTTGTGAATTTCAAAACCATTTTGTGCTAAAATATTTAAAAATAAATTATATTGTTAAATACTAAATTATGTGCGACTAAGCAATTGTACTTAGATTGTATAAGAATTTTATGCACTTAATGGTATTTTTTCTATTAATAATAATTTTCAGTTTAGCTTAGTACGCGAACACCCATTTTGCACGAGAATTTGATAGAAAATACCATATAAAAAATATGTTCTAAAATGTCAAAAATTTTTTGGATCATTTTTTGATGTGAAATTTTATGTCAATTTTTCTCAAGAAATGAATAGCAGTACAAGGCTTTAAACAATAGTAATATCAGCAATCAATTTGCCAACTGTTTAGACCAGGGCTGTCGAAAGTACGACCCGCGGGCCAGATGTTAATGTTTAGGCGACCCGCGGCTAATGTTTATGCGACCCGCGACATGTTTTTAATCTACTACAATTATACAAACAGGGCCCAGTCTGGTAAAATCACATTATTTTATTTTTATGGTATACCAAATAAATGAATTTAAATTGATAAATAAATAAAACTAAATTTAACATTATAACCGTATTTATAATGTTATATGTAATGAATTTATAATAACAAGGGTACTCCAATCTGTACAGTGATTTGCATTGGCCTGCGATCGTATCTGGTGTGAACAGCCCCGATTTAGACTATAGGTGATTTTATCGCGGCTACACGTACTACTTCTAATAAACGTGCAATACTAACAAATTATCATGACTACCATAAAGACCTATAAAGTTGTGTTGTAAGAAATCACCTGACCTGATCTATTTGAAATTTAGAACTAACATCCATTTCGTACGAAAAATTGACAGAAAAAAATTCTACATTTTTTAAAATAACAATTTTAGGATCATTCTTTTTATATTGATTTTTATATTAATTTCTAGTGCGAAATAAAATTAGTACTAAAATAAAAAAAAAAATGAAATAAAATAATACCAAAATATCTTAGTACTGGGATTGAAGCAATATAAATAGCGGTTTGCCAACTATATAGGCTATAGGAGAATTTTAACTTAGAAATATTATTTCCTATGAACACAAAAATTTTCATGCAATTTCATATAAAAAAATTATCCAAAAATTTTGGACATTATTAAAAATATTTTTACACTGTTTTATAAAAGTTTTTCATGCGAAATGGATGTTAGTAATAGGCTTTATATAAAGCAATGGTTTCAATTATTCATGCCGAATAAAAATAGGGGAAAACATAAGAACAAAGTGCTCCGGTATAAGTTTGGCTCAAAAAGAATGTTTGTACGCTCTTCAATGGAAAATCTTTCATCATTACTGTGTTAATTAAAGATGCAAATCCAATGGCCACCATCACTATATTCGAATTCTCCACTCTATTGCTAATAAGAAAAGACTGGATAAGCACCAGATTACCAATCTTCCCCTTTTGTAGGTACATCCCGGAACTTCCCACACATTTTCGTCCAGCTCTTTCCACTAAATCTTTCCAATCCCCATTACTTCAACGATATTGATTAATCTTCCTACACAGCATCACATATTCCATGTAGCAAGTAGTTAATGATGCTTGGTCTCATAGTTAGTATTTTTCATGTAACAATTTCTAACTTTAAGATAGAGTCTTAAATAGATTAAAAATAGACTATATTGACTAAAATTATGGTTGTAAAGGTTGTTCAAAATAGCTGACTGTAATAAAATCCATTGGCATATGATGACATCAATCAGTTTTGCTCATGAATGTTTGTAATTACACAAAAAAAAGTAAGTGTAAAAATAAAAATAAGAAATCATGAACACACCTTCCAAGCCATGGAATAAATTTAAATATTAAAATAAAAATTTCAATGTAAGCTTTAAGTTTGCCAGCAAATCCACAAAGAAAATAAAAACTCACTTTTTACACTTATTTTGCATAGTCACAATCCATTATGGTTTCATTGACTTCTTTCATTTGCTTAAAAGTTTAAAAAAATTACTATAACCAATAACCAAATAGATTTCTGTATAGACAAATCAGTAGACTAAAAAATAGACGAAAAAATAGACGGAAAAACTTACATCGCTAAGCAATTTCGCATTGTTCAGATAATAAAATATGTACTCTACATGGTGTGTATGGGTCTAATGTTACTTTATTTCTAAACCATAGCGTCAGACTCCAATCTATCTAAAGGCTCAGTTAGTTGGTACGTACCGTAAGAACTTAAGTCAAAACGAAATACACAGGTGTGGTTGGTTGTGCATATCGCTTTGGTTATAGTTCGCTTAAGTTTTTACAACACGTACTGACTAACTGAGGGTTAACTGAGCCTTAAAGCTTCTCTAGTGAAACGTGATTGGAATTCGCTCTATTTATACTAAAGAACGCTATTTTAGAAATCAAGATTAAAAGAAGTGAGATCATTAGGTTTTAAAATGAGCAATTTATATTTCTCTAAATCAGAGAGCAAGGAAAACAATTTCAACAAACAGAAAGAATGTGAGTAGTGAAAAAGGTGGGAAATTTCATAAACCTTGTATATAAGTAAGTCACACCAGTATTAAATGTATAAAATGTAAGACGTACAATTCAAGTAAACAGTAAAAATTAAATAAAACTTTAATAAGACTATATTTGCCCTAAAAGATCTGCAAGGTTTCACTAATATAGAAACAGGAGTGGCGTAACTGAGTAGGACTCAGTAGGGCTCAGGGCCAAAATTAAAAAAATATTTCTACAAGTAGTTCTGATTCAGAGATGTACAAGAATATTAAATGACAAGATTAAAATAGTGTCATTATAAACAACTCAGGCTACGACAAGACTCTAATTCATGATCGTTTGTTTACAAGACAGGCACTAAGTCATAGCGTCCTTGTAATGAGGAAAGAGTGTATTACGTTATGAAGCTTGTAGGTACATCGTAATTTATTTATTTATTAATAATTTATTTAGTGTTCCAAACTCAACATTTTGAAGCACAATTATTCTTAAGTCCATAAATCACTTCGTGGTGTAATAAGGTAATAGGTTTCGCTATAGCTATGTAGTTAACTTTCAATTTAATCCGGAGAATGTCCTTTCAGTTAAGTATGAAAATTTTATGTGTTTTGATGTAAATACAGGGTACTATTAGTGCTAATTTCGGTACTCGGTGTATGGCTAACTTAGTGAAATTTATTATAAGTGATATATATTATACTGGACCTACATGTTTCAGCAGAATAGACCACCTGAGTTGTGGTGCATTATAACAATATTCTCCATATTTACTTCGCTTAGACTGTAATTAAAAATAAGTTGGGGTATAAATAACTAATTGGAATAATTTCTCATGTACTCATAAATTTTTTTTTGATAATTATTTAAGATTTTTTATAAAACCTCTTCAAATGTTCCAACATAAAATAAAAGGATTTATGGCAATTGGTTTTTAATATGACAAATTCAAAAACTATTCAATCGTTCAGACTTTTTATCAAATACCAAACACTTCAACTGTACAATTTTTAATACGTAAGCTTCTACCGATATCGCATACAATAGATAAGATTCGATACCAAACGTAGAGCGCATTATCTAATATTTCCCAATTTAATGCCAATGGTTGAATTCAAAGTATTTTATGATTTAATTGTAAGCTGACTCAAGTGTCGGAGAGCGTTCCAGTACTTATTTATTGCTATTTTCATATCTGTGCTTTCTAATGTCAGCCGAAAATACAGTTCATAAATTTAACTGCAGACATTACGAATATATCATAGGGCTTTGAAGACTTAACAGAATTTGTTCGAAGATTTGTTTGGAAAATAAACAATTTTATATCTAAAATACTTAGAATTTATATTTATTATATAATTATATTATTTTACATTTAATTATATTTCATATTTCAACGTTGCTGTCTGTGTTTGGTTTCTTGGTTATTTGTCAGAACAGGATGAGAGTGCATGAGAGAAAAGTACTGGAGTAAGACCTTCAAATATTAAATAATATATAAAATTTTCAAATGAAGATGAGATAATCATACAGCTGTTTTGGATATTGCCGAATACCCATCATCAGTGGTCTATGGGAAAATCTGTTGGTTGAGTTCACAGTTCGAAATAGGGTTTAGTCTTTTAAAGATGTTCAAGAACTATTCATTTTCAACTCAGAAATTGAACATTTTCGCTTCATTAAGGTATCATACCGCATCTATGAGTGAAATCAATTATCGTGCAATCAAGTGTTATGATGACTAATTATCAGAAAAGTCCATTTATAGAAAATTTTTTTTTTACATTTTGTGAGAGATATTGAGTTGAGGTTAAGTTAGCTTAAGATGACGCCTTCTGATACATTG